CATTTAAGTAACACTGTCCTTCTGTTCTTTTAGCCCAGTGCTTGCTGCAATGGTAGATTTCATTTGGTACCGCGTAGTACCGTTGAGGACTCAAAACAGCAAATTTACGTAAAATTTTTTCGAATATTTTGCTTTAATTTTGAAAAATTCAAGTGTTTTCAATCGCTTCTTAATTCCCTCGATCTTTGAAACGTATTGTTACATCCGTCAGTGCCCCTAGTTTGTGTTGACATGTTTCCATTCTTCATACCTAAGATTTTCTACGTTGGTCTTCCAGACGTAGTTCTGTAACTTATTGACGATTTCCCTGTATCGTTCGGTTCACATCACACTGGCCTTGCCCTAACAGTCTGTCTCATAATTTTTCATCTTTCGGGGTTTCGTCGCTGTGCAGCCCGCGTAGCTTTCCAAAATTGCATGTTTTTTTTTCTTCACTGACGTTTGTAAACACATATAACGTGTTCTTTTCTTCGGATGACTCCTAAAAATTCCGTTTTTTTTTTCAGGATTCCATCAGCAGCATCGGCAAACACGGGTTTAACTACGCCGTTGATGGCAAATTTCAGTAGCTCACAATTAACGGCAAACAAGCCGCAGCAGCAGCAGCAGCAGCCTGCGTCAGGTGCTCCGCCGAATGCACTGGATCTATTTGGTGGATCGCAAAACAACGCTCATTTGGCGTTGTCTTCGGAACGACAGCAAATTGCTGCAGTACTTGCTGCTGCGAATGCACTGAGTGGGAATTTTGTTGCTCCGCGAACGCCGACACATCTGAACGCCGCTGCTTCCGGAGCATCCGCGCTGGGGCAACTCACTTCTCCGGTACATTCTGCTTATACATTAATTTAAAATGTTTTCGTCGAAACTACATTTTTTTTTTTTTTTTTTAAATTACTAACTGCTTTACCTGTTGGTGAAAGTCGTGCTGAAAAATGAGGTAGTTTGGGGACGCGTTTTGCCCTTATTTCTGAGTGAACTTTGAAGTTCGGTTTTTGAGGCTTCCCTAGTACGAATAGTGTAGGAAACTGGCAGCTGTCTGTATAGAGGGCAACGTGAGTGGCAAGCAACAAGTTACGAGGCCGTTTCGTCAGTAATCTATCCCCCTTCCCATATTTGGAGAACTTATTAAAAGCATCATTCTTCAGTGCTGTGTGGGAATGGGACTTGGGTAATCGCGTTTGTTAATCGAAAGTTAATGGCGGTCTAACAAATTATGGAATAGTACATAATAGGTGTTATAAGACTGTGAGGTTCCAGTCTGTTATCAGGCAGAGTGCAGTGGTGGAGAGAATGTAGCTGGTGAAGTGAGCACGTGTGCATATTAATAAGCTGAAGTCACTGCTCGGCTGCACTCTTCTTGCTGGGGAGGCACTATTCCTGACAGCTCAGTGAGCTCAGTTCCAGGCGTCACTTTGGGCTGCGAGAAGATGAGAATGCACGGGCAGTGCGGCTCATTGAGTGTTAATCGTATTAATTTTTAAACGAACTTGGGACGGCCGTCAAGAGATTAGCTTGAGCGCGTTTGTGCGGTCACTTGAATTCGCAAAGTTCAAAGCAGAATTGCTAGTTGTGTCGTTGGCAGTGACAGTGATGCATCTCGCAGACCACTGTTCTTCGACTTTGTTTAAATAACCGGATAAAAGCTTTCAGAATCTTTGCCAGCTTCTCATGTTTTTTGGTCTTTCCCAGTGATACAGCTTCCACTGTTTCTAACTTCGGTTTAAGGCTGTCCTGCCTGGGTAGCTTCATGTAAGAGTTCAAATGGACTGTCGTTTCTTCCTGGCGGTTGTGTCTGCTCAACAGCTGCTCATTTGCTGTTTCTCACTTTCTGCAAATGTGCGACGTGGTTTTTTTGGTCAGTTAGCAATTTAAAATTCGTTGCAGCTGTTATTTTGGCCCCTTGAAATAAGTGGTGTGTTTTGTTTTTTATGTTTAATTCCATGGGTCCTCTTAGCCTAGTTCGTCAAAACGGCTTTTGCTTAGAGATTTGTAAAACTTGTATATTTTGCAGGAGTTATTGGCGCAGTATGCGTTGCTCGCTCAGCAGCAGTTACTTCATCATCAAGCAGCAGCGGCAGTGGCACTGAACGCAAGGTACGGAAGTCAAGTGATACCGAGTAGTCCAACGCCGCCGCATTCCACACCATCGAATTCACAGATTTCCTCCAGTGCACATCCATTGAAGTGATGATAGGCATTTTCGACATTGTTTCCGAAGTTTTTTTTTTTCCTTTTTTTTACTGGAGGTTTGCAAGTTTTACCACCTAATTAGTGGGCGTACAGGTATTTCAAAAAGGGCAAA